TACTAAACTTTCATTTGCACGGGGACACTGTATCCTCATTGAGGGCAGATTTTAAAAATAAAGATGGGGAATTAAACACATGCCTCTACTCCTCCCCAAAACCACATTAAAATGACAGTAAATGGATTTTTTAAAGGCATTCTGATACAAGGACAATAACAGGACAGGAGATAACAATACCAAATTTTTGGAAACTGGAAAGCAGATGAATTAAAGTTTACTGACTGTAAGAAAGCTGAGTTCTGCCCTAACCGGTTTGGCTCAGTGGATAGAGCATTGCCCTGCGGACTCAAGGGTCCCAGGTTCAATTCCGGTCAAGGGCATGTACCTTGGTTGGGGGCACATACCCAGTAGGGGGTGTGCAGGAGGCAACTGATCGATGTTTCTCTCTCATTGATGTTTCTAACTCTCTATCCCTTTCCCCTTTCTCTCTGTAAAAAATCAATAAAATATATAACTATATATATAAAAGAAAGCTGAGTTCTAAGCCCTGAATTGTCCAAATGAACCTTCAAAGATATTCAGGATTTGGTGGCATCAGGCCCATTTGAGAGTGGAATGACGGTGGGGCTAAAAACAGGGTGATTAGTTCAAAGTTAGTTTAAAAAGAAGTTAAACACTGAGATCCCACATTTACCCCTCTGCAAGATGGCATAAGGCTGGAGCTAAACAAAGGTCTCTGGATAGGAGCTATTAAGCAGGCTTAGGGTGGGGATACTATTGTATGTACAGGGATTTATCTACTAAAGTTCTTTTCCAGCCCTTCTTCTAGAAAGCTGGCTACCTAGGTTTAAGCCCGAATGCTGGACTTTTATAAAAGTAATTTTATTTGGCATCTCCCCAAACTGACCCAACCTGAGACCATGATTGAAAGTATCACCTCCACAATTCAGAACTTTCAACATGCTTCCAATATGCTTCTTATTTTCTGTTCTATTTTAATCTTTAAGCAGAAAATCATGAATTAGCAGAAATTGGAGGAAAGCAACTGGTGTGAAGTGACAAAGATCAAAACAAAGAAGAAAGCAACTAGAAGGAACATTATTCTTAGATAAGAGCATTTTATTTATGTACATATATTTTATTTCAAAGAGGAAGAGAGATAGAAACATCAATGATAAGAGAAAGTTATTGATCGGCTCCCTCCTGCACACCCCCCATTGGGGATCTAACACGCAACCCAGGCATGTGCCCTTGACAGGAATCGAACCCGGGATCCTTCAGTCCACAGGCTGATGCTCTATCCACTGAGCTAGGGCAGATAAAGGCCATCAGTAAAATCCTCAGTTTTGGTCTGTATAAACATCCCTTTTGCATATTCATTTTGGAATCTACATTATTAAGGAACTAAAAAAATTCTGGGTCACTGGCTAAGGGTTGATTTATAAATATAATATACCTACCATAAACTAAAAATGTATCTATTTACAAGTACATTTGCTTAAGGGTAAAAAGAGGACTTGGATGGTAGTAACCCATAAAACCAACGTCTTGGTAATATAAGTAGAACACACTTGTGAGAAGCCTTCATTTCTTGTGAAGAACTGAATTATCATTTTCTAGGAAATATAAAAATCATCAGTATCAGGTATGAAAGAAAGTTTCTTGCTTCACATACCTTCGTATTCCAGGCTGAGAAGAGGTGAAAACTCTAATTCTTAAGTGCAAGTCACCTTCTGAATGTGATCATAGAATTTGAATCACCTGTGGGGTGAATGGAAAAATTCGTACTGCTGTGAAATCTTTAGAAGAACAGTCATTTATGTCTCTGTAATTATCACCTTCTGATGGGCCAGGAATCACCTTTCTGTGGTTTAGAGGCTGTGTTTAGTCAGTATTTTACTAAGACAGGGCAATTCATTTAATTGAATGAGTGCTATTTATTTTATTTTGTTTTTTGTTTTGATGTTAAAACACCAGAGGACATTTTTTCCATTGACTTTTAGAGTGGAAGGGAAGGAGGGAGTGGGGAGAGAGAGAAAAACATACTAGTAGATGTGAGAGCAGCACATCTATCAGTTGCCTGCTGTAAGTGCTCTGACTAGGGCCAGGGATTGATGGACCGTGCAACCTAGTACATGCCCTAGACCTGGAATTGAACCCAAGACCCTTCCATGCTCGGACCAACAATATAACCATTGAGCAACACTGGCCAGGGCTCTGTGTGCTATTTCGTAGCTTGGTTTGAGGATAGCAAACAATTAACAATGTATCTTCCAGAATTAATGAAATTATTTCATTACAATTTCCAAGAGACATAATTTCTAAGCTGATAATAGCTACAAAGTCTTTTTAAGGTAGCATTTAAGAAGTTTCAAATAACTACATAATTTTAGCTACTGCTTACATAGGAACTAATATAGTCACAAACCAAAGTCCAAAGATGATGTGCTCATTAATCTGAAGTATAAAACAGTAATTTTGCAAATTATACATTTTAAGTACATTTTAAAAAGATAAATTAATGCCCTAACTGGTTGGACCCAGTGGATAGAGCGTCGGCCTGCAGACTCAAGGGTCCCAGGTTCGATTCCAGTCAAGGGCATGTACCTTGGTTGCAGGCACATCCCCAGTAGGGGGTGTGCAGGAGGCAGCTGATCGATGTTTCTCTCTCATCCATGCTTCTAACTCTCTATCCCTCTCCCTTCCTCTCTTTAAAAAAAAAAAAAAAAAAAAAAAATTAATAAAATGTTAAAAAATAAATAAAAAGATAAATTAAGATGTAATAATTTGTGAGTTATTGCATGGATGTTTTTTCAATATACTAATACAGGGGTTGGCAAAAGTAGGTTTACAGTGTGAGTGCGTGAAACAGTTTATTATTTTTTCAAAAACATATATTTTATTGATTTCAGAGAGGAAAGGAGAGGGGGAGAGAGAAAGAGAGAGAGAGAGAGAGAGAGAACATCAATGATGAGAGAGATCAGTTGCCTCCTGCATGCTTCACACAGGATTGAGCTGGCAACCTGGGATATGTCCTGACCAGGAATCAAACCGTGACCTCTTGGTTCATAGGTTGATACTCAACCACTGAGCCATGCCAGCCTGGCAAACAGTTCATTCTTGTATTATTATTTTATTAATTATTGTATTTTCCATAAGAACAGTATAAACCTACTTTTGCCCACCCTCTATATGAATTGAATATATTCAATTCAACGAATCATAGGGAATCTACTATAATGGGCTGTGCTTCCAAGAATGACAAAGATAAATAATGTGCCTTTTTGACCTCCTAGAAATTTTCAGAGTAAGAGAAGTGATTGAAAGCTATGAGAATGCTTACCACAAAAGGAACCCAAAGATAGGGTTGTACGTGTTTTTTAAAGTACCAGAGCAAAGGGATTAAGATGAAAATCCTCTTAGGTGACTTGTAAATATCTAATAAATGGTTGAGATGATCCCTGAAGGATAAGTTTAAGGAGGAGACACTCAGAGTAGTAACTTTTTGGCAAATGTGTGCTTCTTTGAAGTAAATTAGTACTAGAAAACTTTCCATAAAACAGTCTGAAATAGATATGAACAACTTTAATACTTAATCTCTAATTTCATAAAGCATAATGTTATAAAATTTCAAGTTACATATATTTTATACCTTTAATTATATCCAGTAGAATTCCTATTTCCTCAACTAATAGGAAGTCCCTCGTGGTTACCCTGGACTCTCTCGCCTTAGATCAGTCAGGATCCCACTGGAGAGACCTTAAATCAGGATCTCTGGAGCGGGGCTCAGGCATTGCTATTTTTGTGCACGTTCTCCAGATAATTTTAATGTGCAGCCAGGGTTGCAAACCACCAGGCTAAATTGCAGCTAGGCAATTTTGGTCTTCCTGATAGCTGACTTCTCTTTTCTGGTTCAATAAATAAGAATGTTCCAATATTATTTTTTATTAGCTTCCACTTTACTAAGTATTTACTATTGTGCCAGGCACGGTGCCAAACATTCTTTTTTTTTTTTTTTTTCATTATCTCATCTAATTTTCCTAGCTACCACTGTGGTAGGAGCTAACTTTCTAAGTAACTTGCCCAGTTACCGCCCCATTTGGGAGCCCAAGAAATTACCCACCGCGCAACGCGGCTTCTCTCCTGTAATTCAGTCCTGATATGGAACGTCTGGGAACACCGATGTCCCAGCAGCTATAAATAAACGTTATCTGAAAATAGCAACTGCGAACAGGTGGCAAAATGACATCGGAACACGCAGGGAGGACGCCTGGAGCTAGAAGCGACAATGCAGGGTTGACCTGGCAACTCAACATGCCCATTTCCAGGGCCCTCCAACCCTCCTCCCCTCCCCCTCCCCCCCAAGCCTTTTCACCACCCTTAGCCCCACTTCTCAGGCTCGCTAGTCTTTGCTGGCCAATTTCAGGGCTAGAACAACCTTGAAATCCTAGGCGGGGAAAGCCAATCTGGGTACTTCTCAAATCCGTAGCTGAAGTTGAGCGCTTCAGTCATTACAGGAAACGGGCAAAAGCCCTTCTGGAGCCATCAACCCACCCAACTCCCCCGGAGCCGAGAACAAGTGCGCTCCCCAGAGCCTCAGGCGGGAGCTCCCGCCCCGGCAGCGAAGCGCCAGAGGTGGGACGCGTGGCCGGAGGCGCCCAACCCGCTCCTGCCCGAGGGGGCGGGGAGGGTGACTGCAGGAGCGGCCCTTCAGATCCCGGGCGCGCGGTCCCCAGCCGCAGCAAGGGCGTGACCACAGTGTAGCTGTCGGGGGAGAGGGGGCCGGCCCCACCCCGGTGCACAAATCCCGATTTCACCGAAGGCACGGAGGCGGGCACCGCGGCTCAGGCCGGGGCGCGTGGCTGCCAGCGCCCCCTTTACGCCCAGCGCCGCCGACCCGGGAGTTCCCCGTCGGTGCAGGTCGGGTGCAGCCCGCGCGCGGCACGCAGCGCCCGGTTGCCATGGCAACCCCACGCGCCCGGCGGAGCTCGCCGGCGCCGCGGGACTCGGCCGCGGCCGGAAGTGACGCGTTTCACCTGCGGAGCGAGGGCGGGGTGGCGCGGAGGTGCAGAGGTGCCGCAGCTGGCAGCCAGTCGGGAGCGCGCGAGGCGCCGGGAGACCCGCAGCGCCGGCCGCAGCCCCTACCCCTGCAGACGCCGCGCACCGCCCGGCCGCCACCATGGCGCTTCTGCGGTGCTTCCTGCTCCTGTGCGGAGTCGCTGGTGAGTGGAGGCGGTGCGGTGCCCGCTGTCCCCCTGGCCCGGCCAGCCCCGGGGCGCTCGTGCCGGCGGCCACCCGGGAACAATGAGGCGTGGGGGAGGGGGCGGGCGCGATTTGGGGGCGCTGCGGCACGGGGGCCGTGCGGGTGGAACCGCACCGGCTGATTTTGCCGGGCTGGGCGCGCGAGCCGAGAAGGTGGAGGGGCTCCGGAGGGGGGCATACGGGGGCGTGGGGTGTCTGGCGTGGGGGCGGCGTTGGCGGAGCGGGGGTCCGAGCCCCAAGATGAGGGGCGCGGTGGAGGGTCCCCCGCCCGGGGGCGCGCCGCGGGTGGGTGGGCGCGGCGCGCTGGGTCTGCGCCCGGCATTGCTCCGGCTCCATTCTTTGTGGCCGGTGCGGGCTCCGCTGTATTTGCTCGTGCCCTTCCCTCGTTGGCGGCCGTGTCGTGTCCGTCCAGGGTTAGCCGATTTCAAAAGCCCAGGGCGGCGAGTGTTCAGGTGTGGACGCGTCCAAGCGGGGAGACTGAATTACAAACGCCATGATTAAATGGACACGGAGCCCGGGATCGTCCAAGGGGGTTCCTCTAGGAACGAGGCGCTGAGTGCACGGGACCCCTCGGCGAGCCCGGCGCGCGCTGTGCACTGGGTGGTAACTCCACGGAGTAGGCGGTGGGAAATCAAAAGCAGGTTCCTGCGAAAATGCGGCATTGCCTTCCGCAGTCTCGGGGCAAAGTGCGTAGGGAAATTCATAACCTCATGATGAACCTCATTTTGAAGATAAGATGGGGTGATGACCAGTACAGGCAATTCCTAAAGGGTTTGCCAAGTATATTTTTCAGCTGTGCCTTTCTCGGGACGGAAAAGAGAAGAAGGCATTTAAAAAATCGTGTGCCATTAAGAAGCATCATTATTTGGTACTGGAAAACACGGATCTATTTCCTTGTCAGTGTTTTAACCGACTGATGTCAAAATAAGCATTTGTCTCATTTTGTAACCAAATGATTCATTAAAAAAAAAAAAATTCATGGGAGGGACCCTAGGAGAAGCACGTTGTGTAGCCTCCGGAAGGATAATTTTTGTAAGTGCTCGAAAGCAGGATCAGGTGGCCTTTTCTGTGGGGATGGCCCTCGACTTCCTGCTGAAATGTTAATTCCATTGTTGGATGCCACAGCTGTGAGCATTACTCATGGGATCCACGTTCTATTAACAAGTCTAATCTTCGATGTGAGTCTATAGCACTACCTCCACCTTTTTTTCATACATATCATTTAGCCTTGGCTGAAATTTCCAAAGCAGAGCTTTCTGGAAAAGAGGAAGGGTCGGTAACCAGTTTACATGGTCCGTTCCCATTTTTGTTTTGTCAAGGGCTAAACTGCAGTTGAAGCTGGGCACACGGTGTTTGTGTTCTCTGTGGGGGAAAAGATATTTCAGGTTGCATCTAAACCAGAAAACTGGAAGAACAAGCCATGCGGAAGAATATTTTTTCAGGGGTCTTTGGGTAATTGGATTTTTCTGGATGCCTCACTTTGGTAGGCACAATCTCAACCAAGGGTATTTTGATACACATAGGCCATTCTGCTCATCAGGTGTACAGTAGGGCACAGCGAACATCTAGCTAAACTGAACAACTTTTTTTTTTTTAATCCTCACCTGAGGATATTTTTCCATTGATGTTTTTAGAGAGAGTGGAAGAGAGACGAGAAGACAGAGAAGGAACATTGATGTGAGAGAAACACATTGATTGGTTGCCTGGTAGGGGAGGAGTCTGCAACCACAGTCTGTGCCCTTGACTGAACTCAGGACCCTTCAGTCCGGGGCGGGATGCCTCTATCCACTGAACCTGACCGGCGAGGGCCAGACAACTATATTTTTTTTTAAAGAAGAATTCTTTTTTGAGGGGGGCAGTAAATATATTTTATTGATTTTTTACAGAGAGGAAGGGCGAGGGAATAGAGAGTTAGAAACATCGATGAGAGAGAAACATCGACCAGCGGCCTCCTGCACACCCCCCACTGGAGATGTGCCTGCAACCAAGGTACATGCCCTTGACCAGAATCGAACCTGGACCCTTCAGTCGGCAGGCTGACGCTCTATCCACTGAGCCAAACCGGTTAGGGCCAGACAACTATTTTTAATTTTCCACCGTAGGAGACAACTCAGAAACTATGTAATTGATGTATGGTTTTGGGTATTTCTTCAGCTACTTCTTGCTACTTCAGAAATTTATTGTTACGAACTCAAGTTGAGTGGTAGCATAATCCTGCAATTGACAAAACAAGATGGGGACTTAATATGTTGTAAAAATTGCAGTGCTGTGAGTGGTAGAGCTTCCTCTGGAGCTAGCCGTCTCTGTGTGGGTTGTAAGGAGTTTGGTGCCAAACTCTGGTTGCTGGTAGGACTCCTTTTGATGCATTTTAATTGCCAAACTAGCAACAAGTCATACTACAGTACTGGTAGTGGCAGTAGTAGTAGAGCAGTAGGAATGAATGGTAGGAAAACTAAAGCCTTGATTGAGCAGTTATTAAATACCAGGCATTGTTCTAGGGCAGTGGTCGGCAAACTGTGGCTCTCGAGCCACATGCGGCTCTTTGGCCCCTTGAGGGTGGCTCTTCCACAAAATACTGACTTCTGCGCACGGGCCGCGAAGTTTCAATGGCACTGTATGTGTGCACCCGCACTTGGTATTTTGTGGAAGAGCCACCCTCAAGGGGCCAAAGAACCGCATGTGGCTCGCGAGCCGCAGTTTGCCGACCACGGTTCTAGGGGCTTCACATATATTAAATCTATCTAGCAACCATAGAGGGTATGTATTATAATGATCCCTGTTGTACAGGTGTGGAAACTGAGGCACAGAGTGGTTCTGTAACTTGCCACAATCACAAATTTCCTTCTTCATTCTTGCTCTTATAACTATGCTATTCTGCCTCTAAAAGCAGCTACTTTCCTCTTTTTTTTTTTTTAAATATATTTTATTGATTTTTTACAGAGAGGAAGGGAGAGAGATAGAGAGTTAGAAACATCGATGAGAGAGAAACATCGATCAGCTGCCTCCTGCACACCCCCCACTGGGGATGTGCCCGCAACCCAGGTACATGCCCTTGACCGGAATCGAACCTGGGACCCTTCAGTCCGCAGGCCAATGCTCTATCCACTGAGCCAAACCGGTTTCGGCGCTACTTTCCTCTTTTAAAAATTTTTTATTGATTGATTTGAGAGAGCGAGAGAAATATTGATTTGTTGTTCTACTTAGATATGCATTCATTGGTTGATTCTTGTATGTGCCCTGACTGGAAATCGAATCCACAACCCTGTATTGGGACGATGCTCTAACTAACTGAGCTTCCAAGCCAGGGCATACTTTCTTCTTTGATTATTCTAATCCACATCCTAAATTTCTATTACTGGTTATTAGTCATTTATTAAGAACGTGCTGTTGGCTTGGCTGTGTGCCCAGTATGAAGGTTTTTATTATTAGCCCTTTAAGTCCTTTATCTTTGTTGAAAGCGTGAGGATCCGGGGCTTAGACTGGTGTTGCAGACTAACGTGGCTCGGGCACCTGCAGAGCAGCTCCTGGGCATCTTGTTAAAGTTTGGGTGCCGCTGTTTTCCACCCTGTCAACGTGAGTGGAACAAAAATGTGCTGGTCGATGATTCTGGTCTCCCAATCACTCGTTAGCCATTTGATAGAGCAGGCCTCTGTCCTCCTGTGTGCCTCAATCACTTTATGTGTGAAGAATGGGGACCCCACTGCCCTAGCCGGTTTGGCCCAGTGGATAGAGTATCAGCCTGTGGACTGAAGGGTCCCAGGTTCGATTCCAGTCAAGGGCACATGCAGGGGTTGCGGGCTCGATCCCCATTGTGGAGTGTGCAGGAGGCAGCCGGTTAATGATTCTCATCATTGATATTTCTCTCTCATTTCTCTCTCTCTCTCTCTCTCTCTCTCTCCCCCCCCCTTCCTCTCTCTGAAATCAATTAAAAAAAAGAAGAATGGGGATCCTACTTAGAGTTGTTGAGGAGCAAAGTGAAATGTTTCTCTTTTTTTTGTTTTCCTGGCATCTTTTCTTTCACATAAAAAAAAAAAAAAGATTATTAGATGTGAACTTTACATTTCTGCCATTATACCAACCACCACAGCAAAAGTTGCCTCTTCCTTAAGGGGAGCCACCCTATATTGGCTCCTTAACCTATGTGTTATGGATCTCCATCAATGACTCCATTATATTTCACTGCACCAGGTCAGAGGGCAGGGGCATTACCTGTGTGTTCATTGTTATAGTCCCAGGGTTAGCCTGTGGCACGTGGCAGATAGCCAGTGTTCAGCAAATGTTGCGTGACTAAGTTTTTAACCTCTTTGCCACTAGGCTCATGTATATGATGTAGCTCTCATCAGTTCCATTTCTCTTTCTCTCCCTTCTTATCCAGTGGTCCTTGTGGTGATCATTTCACTAGCCCTGAGTCATTCATTCAGTTATTAGGCTGAAGAAGTTAAGCATCTGCTTTCTCTCTGCCCTCATTGTTCTGTCCCACTTCCCCACCCCACTCCCAACCCCACCCCAGCTTCAATTGCCAAAGATAACAAGGGGTGCCAGATCCATTTATTTTTGTGGGGAGCTCCTTGGCACCTATTGTGGTCCTTTCCCACCCTGCTAACCTGATTTAATCTGCCTTCTACAATAGGTCCCTTCAGTGTCAGCCTTCCCATGATTTGGCTCATGGTCTTCTCAGTCTCCATCTTAATCCGGGGTGACCTTACCTATTCATTACCATAACCTCTGAAATAGTTCGCTGCTGACTTAAAAAGATTGCCAGCTCAGCCCACCTCTCCTTTGAACTCTGGGCCTCTATTTCCAACTACCTGACATTCAACTTCTACCTGAATGCACTTCAGAACCTGAGACTCATCTGTTAACTGATCAAATGATCCAATCAGTCACATATTTCTGGCCTACCATGTACTACTGTCTTGCCCTAGGGGCTCTTACATTAGTGTAGGACTGCATGGTGTAG